GCTCGAAAAATGCCAACCTTGACTGATTTCCTTCAATTGCTTCTAACTCTCGAATTTTCTCAAACTGAGAAAATTCGTGGCGGAGGCACTACTATAAAGAGCATGGATTTCTCTTTCAAACGGATAATTTTAAGGAAATCCACTAAGTGGAAAGGAAGTTATGATTTTTTGAAAATGATGCGCAGGAACATTCGGACCGACCTAATATTATTTCTCTCTGAAATTTTTGTAGGTCTGAAGGAAGCGTTCTTGATATTCGATAACGCATGCTTAAAACAGAACTCATAAATGTGACGTATTTTATGAATCAAAAAACTGTGACAACAGAATTTTACGGAAGTGAGAGTCGCGTTGCCCCTGTTTGTCTGTTAACAAGGCTCACATTGATAATTGCAGCAACCAGGCCCATCCTTCTGCTTTTGACCTTTCCTTTCTTCACTTTGGCCGCTGATTATTCTCACTTTGTTGCTACAACGCAAAAGGTCGAAGAAGCGCGCATTGTGCAGAAAGTGTTCTCTCACCTGCAGCCGCGTCTACCTTTGCGATTTGTTTGCATTCTGCTCTAATTTTGAGAACATCCGTAGTTTAACTTTAAATCAAAACAGATTGGATGCTGTAGTAGAAGAATGCAGCGTAGCAGTAAAAACCAGAAAAAGCGGGTATAATCATTTTCATAAGGAGTAGACTATCTCAATCAGGGATCTCCTCCTTTCTGTCTCAAATTCGACATAAATTTTATATAGCTAACTTTCTTCTGTTCTCGGGTGGGTTGCATAAGTCAAGACACTGTGCAACCAGGTATGCCTGTTGCACACAATCTCATATCTCCTTGCTGTTTTGCAAATTCAAAATATTCCAAGCCTTACCTCTACGCCCTGGAATTTTTTTCAATCTTCGGAAAATTGCGAACCAAAAATGCGTCTCTGTGGTGTACTGGATTTTCACACGGTGTGTAACTTGTGCTTAAACAGACATCACACTAAGACTCGACTATATATGTTCATTGAGTCATATTAACTTCACTCGAGGTTTTCTGCCATCTTAAGGATACAAAAGCGCTCTTATATCATATCTCACAGACTAGAGTCTTCATAGCACTCAAACCAAGTGCTAAGTATCAACTCGATGTCCTTTTTTGCCTCTAGATGGTTATTTTGAAGCTATAACTCAAAATAGCCGAGCGTATATATACGTGTCTTTAGTTTATGACAAGCTCATCATGCTTTTCGTCTGAACTTTCTCTCTGATCCATTTCTTCTCTGACACCTCGGCCAGTTCAGTGATAATCCATTTCATAAAAGACATGTGGTAAATCTGGTATGTATGTACGCCAACGTTCCTTGTCTTATCTCCTTCCTGATATTTCCAAAATTGTTTGAATGCTTAGCTAAGTTTGCGTCAAATTCCTTTTACAGCGTCAAACACTGATATTTCAATTTTTTAGACATTAGCATAACATCGATTATTTCCACTGAAAATGCTTGATCGCTTTTTTAAAGCAAAAAAAGTAAAGGCGTATTTGTTCTACGAGAAATTTAGTTAGCCAGGATCTCTGTCAACAGTTATCCACAGAATTCAAGATTTACTAAAATGTTGAGCAAAGCCTCAAGGTTTGCTGCCAGTTCTGGGAACAGCCGTTCACCCAACTTTTGACCTCTTTCACGGTTACTCCAATTCTGCGCTCGAAATGTGTGTTGCGAGGGTGGTGTGCGAGTGTGCGCTTCTCGTTTTTGCTGTTTGAGCTCTTCAAACTGCACTTCATCCACGAGCGACAGCACGAGAACTGAACATTTTCAGATCTTCTTCTATTCGTTGTGCTCAATCTCCTTGAGTATTTTCGACTGAGCTTCAATATTACTGAACGTGTATTCTGTCAACACTTCAAGCACTGCACGTTTCCCACTGATGCAGGTTGTAATTGCCACTCCTGACATGGTGAAGATCTTCTCTATCGCTTCTGATGTTAATCTCTTCCACTTCTTGGATGTGTAGCAGATATGTTAAGCTCTTATGCGTCGCCTGCTCAGTGGGTCTGCATTATGTTTAGCTGAGCAGTAATAGTACTTGACTAACTCAGTAAATATTTAATTAACTTTGGGCGCAGCACAAAAAAAAACTTGCGAAAAGCCTTGATGAATTGGACAGGTTATAGAACGATCTGCACCAAGTTTTTTTCCACAGTACCAAGTTACCATTTCAGAAGATATGACTAAAGTCCTCAGTCCTCGTTTTCTTCGTATTTTTTGCCTTCACTATCAAAAAATTCATGGTGCTTCCAATATTACGTTCACATTTGCTTCCATTTCCCTTTCTCTTCCTTTTTTTTGTGATAGCAAAGGAAGACCGTAGGATGCTGCTTTGGGAGCCTGACAAGCTTCTCCACACACAACTTCTTCCAAGCTCATATCAAGTGTAAATTTGTTTGGAAATCTGAAGAGACATGCTATGGGAACTAGCAGAAAAATCCGGAATTGAAGTTTGGTGAGTTTGGTGACGACTTGCACTATATGAAGGACACAATTTACTTTACGAAGTCTTTACTATCATCTACATAACATTAACTACCTTGAAGTCTGCAAATTCAAAATTATGTATTCTCCCTCAAAATGCAAAAATACAGGGCTCCGTGCATCAGTCTAAAGCTCTTGATAAATAGTTGCTGGTCAAAACAATCACTTTCTGATTTTGATCTTTCCTATGGTATTCGCTACACTATTGAAGCGGTCTTTTTTACTCAACCCTTTTCGTACAAATAATTTGAATGTCATTCGAAAAGGCTCTTCAAGAGCTTTGATCAATACACAGGGAGCCCTAGCTCTTGTAGTTTCACAGAAAACAAATAATGTTGTGGTTGAAATGCAAACTGTTGGGAACCTATTTATAGGCGGAATCATCCATATGATCTCATGATTATCCCCGTCTATCATATCAGTTTCGTGTTAAACATACTAAATATTTATGGAGAAAATTCGTGCCAGCGAACCCTCACCTCTGAGTGTTAAGCTTTTGAATATCCCATTTTTTGATCATGTTCATCTTGTTCATGTTGTTCCTCTTGTTCATCATGTTGTCTGAGTTTCTTAGTATGACAATATTTAGCGGCATTTGAGAAAGAAGTATGACATTGCATCCATTCATCTTCTCTTGATTCCATTTCCTGAGCCTTGACCTCGTGTTATTTTTTTATTCCCCGCTGACTTTCTATTTTTTTCTGATCTTCGTAGTCGAATGTCTGCTGTATTGGTTTTACTATGAATTTATAACGTTGTTTCTCTCGTTTTGTATTTGGGTGACCAACACGCCGAGGTTGAATGAGTGTCTTGAAGAGCGTTAGCCTGTGTGACACCCTCGGTACTCGCAGTAATCCGGTTGCTCTCTACAAACATTCAGCGCTTACAATCACTACGGCTGGCTTCTTTTCTGCTGCTTTCCACTACTCTGTGCTAAATTTGAAGTGAATGGTTTTTATATGGAATGCATATTTTTTGATAGAAATGGTCATCAAATTAAGGTATCCTTGAATGTTTTTTGCAACTCAATATGTGGGTCCGCACGACGACAGCTTAATGGTAACTCCTTTGTAAAACCTTCTCTAGTAGAATATAGCAGAAATATGTTCTACTTACTGCTACATATCCATTCAAACCAAAAAGGAAATCTGCAAGTCGTAAAGTAGTGCGCGTGGTGTGCAGTACGCATGCTCAGTACAAATGACTATACATAGTGATAAAAAAGATATCACACTACGACGTTTGTCTCGAGATAGTTACGTCAGACAGCATCAACAAAAGGTTTTCGAAAATCTGATATTCTGGATCGCTAAATTGTCAGCAGTACAGTAATTTACTTGTTTTATCTTCCAAAAATTACTAGCAAAACTCATAACATTTACACCCTTCTGTCACGATAAATACGTCGTACTAGAGAAACTCGTTCGACTTCATTTTTCCGCAAGATTATGAGCGAAACTGTAGTGATGTCTTTTCAAGATTTTCGTACCTTCAAGCTTTTACATGGTGAAAGTGAGCCTCGCGGAAGTATTGATGTCCTAATCTGCTTCCTTACAAGCGCACTGTTTGTTTACCACGGCGTTTACCGCGGCTCACAGCTCTCGAGGTCTTCATCTAATCAAAGCGATGCCCCTGTTACGATCTGTGCTTGAGGTGACGACACAGCACTTGCTGAGTGAAGCCTCGGATCCAGTGCTCTCCGAACCGAAACAAGTTTAGCTAGCTTCTTCTTAGCCAAAAGTTCAATCAACTGCACTTCACCGACTTCTTCTCGAGGCATTCTCGTCCATAGCCTTCTGGAATGTCGCTCACTGGAAAAGATGATGAGGAGGTCCTCGATGCGTTTGCAATTGGCATTGTTTTGCTCGAGTCGCTACGTGGTTCAGTGAAAAGGGGCAAGGAAGTGCCGTTTGCCTTGACGCGCACAATACCGCCCCGTACATGGCGTAAACACACATATGTGCACCTGCATTCACTATGTTCCATTTGTGAAAACAGCTTTTCTCGTTAACATAGATCAAGCCGTGTCAATCAGGTAGATCAACCCGTAGAGACTCGCTATAGCTCTTATATTCCATTATATAGAATGCAGAATATGACTTCTATCATCACAACCCCACTCACATTTGGACACTTCCAAGTTCAACTCATACTTTAAATCTAGTAATTTCCCATTTCTCAACAGTCTTCCTTTTTTTAGCATTGTTCTCCTCATCCTACTGTAAACACCCAAAGACTCCTTGCTCTTGCTCTTTTCAAGGTGTCTACGTTGTCCATGCTTGATTGCCTAAATTCCGCACAAGAACCTGTGTTGTCCGGCTGGTCACTCTCCACCCCCCTTGACCGGTTCCCCATTGTGTAACTCGAGAATGAAATTGCAAAACATTCTCAATTCTTGTGCAAACCGCAATAGAAGCAGTGCGCATGGACTTTTGCGAGATCTGTGTTGAGCGCATTTTGTATAGTGAAACTTAATTAAAACTGTTCCAGATGTATCGTGACCATTGAGCAACATGTCAGGCAGGAAGATTCTAAGGCGGTTTTCTTCAAGCATTTCTGGTATGTTTATTCATGACCTAAAAATAATTATGGTCGAGTATAGTCCTACTCACTCATACTGAACATAAGCGTCATTTTTTAGAAATCCTTGCAACAAGTTTGACATACTTAATTAACTCTAACATTTCAACGTAATTTCTGAATAAAGCACAGAACCGATGTGGGCAGCATATCGATTACTAGAAAGGTGAAAGTTTTCCTAAGTAAGAGATTTGAAAGATATTTTTGACAGCACGAGTAGTGAGACAATTAGGCAAAAGGTGTCAAAGGTGCAGAAAATGGAGCAAATTGGAAAATGGAAACGAAACCTGTCCTAATTGGCGCTATTTCTGGCTGATGGGTTCTATAGGTACTAAAATAATTGTTCTTGATTAATTAGCCTTTTCAATGAAAATTCATAGATATGCCTTTACTGCAATTCATGTGGAATAATTTCGATTGCACAATTTGAGAAGCTTTTATTGTATTCATATTTTTCTTATGCTTCTAGCTTCCTCGCATGTCAGTCCGGATATTATTACCAATAATTACTTTGGAGTGCTTCCCTGCTATTTCATGAATTTTATATAACTTCTATCCTAAGAGGGAATAGTTGTCATGTCCTCTTCCAGATTTTTTTTTACGTTAAGACATGACACTTTCTTGAGGCTTCCCACCTCTAAAAATAATGCCACTTACCTCAATTTCCAGACATGCCCCTATGCACTTGCATCGCACTGGAAAGAGGAGGGTCTCGCGAGATCTGCTTTCCCAGTTGAACGATCCTAAAGTTTATTTGCTTTATTTTCTGGTATGCACAAAGGAACTGGAAAAAGAGATTTCTCCCCTGGGAAACATCTTTTGTAGTCATTATATCTAAGCAGGGCTCGGCACAGCTGGTACTGGGTCAAGCTGGATATCGTTTTTGGGACAAAAAGCAAAGAAGGTATCGTTTTGTGGTCGAAAAGGCACACAGAGATTGTGACGTTTTCTAGTCGGCGTTTCGCCTTTTGGGGGTTTTCACGTCTAGGATTTGGGGTCAAAGAGAACTTCGTACGAATTTTTCAAGATCAAAGGGGACCTCGTCTAAAAATTTCTCTGGTGCTAGCTCCTGCCGAGCCCTGTATCTAAGCAACTGCATTTTCAGACTTTTTTTAATTTAGAGTTGCTGTTTCTAGAGAGCAGATTTGGGAGCACTAGCATTTAAAAATTCGAAAACAGCATTTAACATCATGTAGCACTGAAAACTTACTGTCTGAATAAACAAAGTTAGCTACATCGCGATAACATTGTAACATGTCTCACGCTATCCAGAAATCAAGTAATGAATATGTACTACTAAATTCACATGCCGATTATCGAAATTATACTCAAATTCTCTTCATTGAACTTTCTATAGAATGCTGAACTTTTTGGTTGAATCTAAGGTAGAACGTTAGAGCATCTTCTGGAATATATTTTCGTGTCTCGTTCTGAATATGCAGCTATCGAAAACGTTTTCGAAAGCTGTGTGATAATGCAACACTGTATACGAGCTTAAGACCCCTTTTTCTGTTTTATATCTTTCCGCTGAAAATTAGACACATGTGGTCTTGTCCTCAAAGACAGCCGACGGTGACGGACAAAAGTAGCGATTTGTCGGTTTAGCGGTTTCCATCAATCACTTGTGACCTGATGCCATGTCAGCTGTTTTTGCACAGGCTCAGCGACTTGAGCAAGAATCTGATTAGCTGACTTTACACTTGGACTTATGCGTTATGTTAAAAGAGAGTTCCGATGACTTACTTTCTTTATTACAACTTCACTTATATAGTTGTCAATATTTACAATCCTAGAAGTGTGGAGGTAATTGCGCATGCCACAAAAGGTCAAGACAAACCGTCTCTATCTTTAATAAAAGCAAAAAAGCACACACGTGGTGAGACGATCCTACGACCAACGTAGTGTCCATGCAGTGTCGGCAACTCTTGCGCGAAGAAGATAGCCGTAGGGCGAGAGCCTCAAAGATGTGCGCTCTATGGCCATTTTTACGTGCAGCTCCATGTCATTACAAACATCACGATGGTATTCGTGCATACGCTGTCGACAACACTATAGTAAACGTCAAGTTTGGTGAGCTTCGCTTCTTCAACATTATATGGAAAGAATGGTGCCTTAGAACAACAAGTGGACTCGTTTGACTCAACTCGCTCTGAGGTCGACTAACAAGACAAATAAGACAAATGTAAGACAAATAGGAAAGGGTGGGTTAAGACACCCGATATACACAAGTAAAATCTTACTTCTCATGTCATGTAGTGGATGAACTCAAGCGGAACCTGATACAGTATGCGCATGTAAAAAACAAAAACAAAAACCAAACAAATAAATAAATAAATAAAATTTGAAGTCTAAGCGAAGTAGAATTATCTCATGCCCAATAGATCATAAATAGTAGCTAGGCTTACTGGGTTGATTATTTAATGTGACTTGTGCAATTATGTGGCTGTATAGTCAGCAAGAACACGGTGTTGCGTCTTTATTTATAAAAATTGATTACTTATCGTCGTGGATCAAAATCTCCGTCTAATCCTTGTCTGAATCAACTTTTGCGAAATGTCAACTAATTTATGCGATGCTTAGAGATTGGTAGATCAAAGGGAATGTATAAGTGAAAACGTGGCAGTACTTTTGCTACCTGGAACACTGGAGGAGCAATGCAAACTTTAGCAAGAAGGGATTATCATAATGAGACCTTACAGCGCTAATCTCTCTCATCGCAAAAGGATTATTCTGCAAATATCCTTCGCAACACTAACTATAAGCCAAGGCTTATTCTATGGTCATGAACTCAAATCAAACATATTATGGAAATTTGACTTTCTCAAAGGTCTAGCTTCTTTCACAGCTAAAAGCTTCTTCTTGCAGACGAATGTTTTCATTGAGATTCTTCTACTTGTTTTAGAAACGCACTGGAAACATTGAAGACATACAGAAGTGTCCTTATTGTTTGATAGCTGACTCATCTGTAAGGCTTCCACTGCTTTTGAAATCATACATCGTCAGACTAGCTTGCGACAAAAAAAGGAGAAATCCCTAAGTAGGATAATAATACCATAGTCCGAAAAGCTGATACTTCTAATGTTGTTAGAACCATTACCGCAATTATCCCTGTTTCATCTTAGCATGTGTTTAAAGACTTTCGAGTGAACACAAACATTTGGCACTATGATGGTGTTTATGATCTATGTACGCATTCATTGGCATTAAAATCTATAATGGGATCAAGAGACAGTCGAAGTAACGCAAAAATCATATCAGCGCAAATATATGAACTTAAGCAACATGATCCGACAATGCAAGTTCCATACTGCATCGACTAAAAGTTCTTGATTTTACAGATTTGCTAGCGATCCAGAAACGAACGAATGTGGACGAAAACGACAAGTACGTAATGGTTCATCTTTATTCATACTTATACAGATATATAGCCATTCTTGTAGTGGTACCGCTCTTCATAGGGCTGTCCAGATGGGCAACGCTATCATGGCGAAGGGTCTACTTGACAATAGATCGGTGTGGGTCGATGAAGAAGACGGCCATGGTGAGAATCACTTGATATAGAAAAAGTTTCATGGTTTTGGTGTTTGGAATATCATCTCAGGCATTTAGATATAACATTCGACTTTATGGACAACTAGTATATTTTTCTATCAATCACATTCGAAATTACTCAGCTTAAAAAACTTTGGAGTATTGAACTTCCTAATATCATACTATTACAGGAAAAACAGCCCTACATTACTCTGTGGAACAGAACTCGACTGAACTTATTGAGGTGTTAATTGCCGGTGGGGCCAATGTAGACTGCGTGGATTTTCAAGGAACATCTGCTTGCCACTTGGCTTGTAAAGAAGGAAGTGTCGACGCGGTGAGGATGTTTGTAGCTGATGTTTCTCAGAAAAAAAATTCAAAAATTAGTCTTGAATCGAAGACGTAACATTCGCAACGTTTAACACTAGTATCTTAGTAGTAAAACCACGAGGCCTGTCTGTTTGCCATGTATTAGAAATTAGACAACTTTTGAATTATTTTAAAGCTGTTTCATTAACAATTTTATCTTCGTTGACAGAGCATAACAGTTTAGGTGGCTCACATATCATTCGGTAATTTATACAAAGATTCAGCGTAAAGCTTCGAAGGAACGTACGATGTAATTAAGTACTTTCTAATTTTAACCAACTCAATTTACAAAACGTAGAATAATCATTCTGGGGACGTGGCTTCGGCCCTGCTCCTTTTTTTTGGATTTTGAGCTATACCCAAAAACATCTCAAAAATATTTCGAAGGCATTGGCCAGGCATCGAAAAAAAAATGTTCTCGCGTCCCCCCCCCTGAAAAAAATTCTCGGTCACCTCTGACCTATACGTAAATTTGTATTGGTTTATGCAGTTTCAAGAATTAGTTTAATTGGTACGGATGTATAACTGAAATAACTAATACAACTAATAACTTTGATCAGAGAACGATAATCAAGGTTGTTTTGGGAAGAAGTTGAAGAGTTTTTTAAAGACTAAACATGTGAATCAAAGCTGCATACACTTGACGAGTGAAGAACACGTAATAAACATGTTGAACACGACTTGTGGCAGTCGGTTGGCAGTCCTATGAATGCGGTTTGCCTAAATTTGGCTTAATGGGGGACAAAGAGTACCCTGCTCACAGAAATGGTTCTGGATAACGGAAAAGTCATAATTATTATTTGATTCCTTCACTATCAGTTTCTAAATATGCCATAAAAGAAAGAAAGTGAGCTGACCAAGCGATTTGCATTATTCGATAGAAAGATAAGAAAACAAATTTCGAGTACTGCTTTCAGTTCGAAATATTGATGATCCACCGCGCAGATGCATTCTGCATCGACAAACTCGGCAAGACGCCGTTCGACCTTGCATGTGAATTTGGCAAAGAGCGGGTAAGATTTTTTTTGTTGTTTAACGATTATTACGAAAAGAAACACAAATTGAACAGAGCATTTTTGATCAAAAAGCCTGGCCAGCGATTATAAGTCTTGAACAAATCTTGTCGGAGTCTTGAGTATGTTAAACGCCGCTTCCAGGTAATTTGGCTGGATAAGCTCTTCATATGGGCAAGAATCTTTATCCAAGCTACTGCCTAAACTAACTATAGTCCATAGATATGAATCGGTAGAAAAACAAATAATTCAACGCTGAACTCTCGCCCAGAAAATACTCTTTTCCGGTTAGCCACCATATGCGTTTTGAGCAAGAATTAGGAGATGATTCTCTTCCATGAATGAATCTTAGAGTTCTTGGGCAAAGGCCTATTGATCCGCAGTTTTACAGAGCAGTTTTACAGAGAAGCACAAATACTTTTTGCATGGACAATGCTTTAGTTTGAAAGGGAAATCATGAATTTGCTTTATAGGCTCCCATCCTATAAAGTAGTCTTTAAGTTTCACTGCAACGTTGTCCAAGCCAGCGCGTACGATAAATTCTTACTTTCAAATCATCGTGTTAGACGTCGCTGTTTCTATCACTTTTTTTGCTAGACATTTAAAAAAAGGAGCGGCAAAGCCTCTTTAGTATATCTGTTGTACACTGATTCTCTCCAGATGGTGGACTACATGCTGAAGTCGATGGAAGACCTTTCCATTCTCCGACATGCAGGGGAAGCGCATAAAGCTTCAGCATTGCATCTTGCTGCTCGAAATGGTCATACTCACGTCAGTTTGATCTTTATACAGATTAAGTGCTGTTCGCACGAAGTGAATAAATGTTGTTCCAGATTGTGTGCAAACTGCTCGAATACGGCTGGGACGTGAATCGAACTACCGCTCTCGGTAGCGCTCTTCATGAAGCTGCTGGTTATGGTCGAGCTCAAGTCGTTCGTTTCCTGCTACATGTGAGTTCTTCTTGACGAATTTAGAGTTACACAGCAGATTGCAAAAGTCCTAATCTTTTTTGACTAAATGAGTTTGATAGGAAAACGCAATCTGCGTTAGAATTCGGCACAAGCTAAAACCAATAGATTTTAAAAAAGAATTCTTTTGCTCCATCAAGAAATTCATGACATACCCTATGCGGCTATGCCAGAGGAAAAGACATGAGAAAAAAAAAACAGAACAGAAGAACAAAGAAGCACGAAACACACATGGCAGCAGAAGTATTCGAATTACCTGTTTTGGCGGCATCTTTCTCGAGCGCGCACCACTACGCGCTTGGTGCATTAGTGCGCCACGTATAGAATTTAAGCTGCAGCTATGGAGGTTGGGAATTGAGGACCGTTATACAGGATTTGAGATGGGATGAAAGTCATGTGAGGGAAGGGTGGCTTTTTGATCTAGTTTTTTTCGCGACCACCACGATTGGCTTGCAAGGTATCACAGGACCACCTAACTTGTAAAAAAAAGTTTGCCACGCCCTTTGATTCACAAAGCTTTTACATTATCTTTCATAGATTGTTTCAACTTCTCTTGACGCATGTGCAATCCAATTTTCGTGTCATATTAGTAAGCGAGCCATTTGGCCATTTGGCACTGTTCTAAATTTGTGCGTTTCTGCTGAAAGCAAATTGGAGCTTAAAATCCTTGCTTTGAGAGAGTAAAATTGCTGAGGCATGTTAGTCAAACGGGACGTCTTCAGGTATGAAGAGCTAGGGATTAAGAGCGTGGGGGGGGGGAGTGTATATGGAGACGAATTGCATATTGATATGGATTCCAGTGTGACCAGCGGATGTGAGAGGGTGGGGGGGGGGGGGGAGGAATGGGCGACAAAATTATGGGAACTCATGGGGATTTTTCCTTGGCTACATTCAATCCATAAATTTTTTTCGCATTTTCCTGCTGACCATACAAAAACAATATTTCGTCTGCGCTCCCAATTTTTTCGCAAACTTTTAGCTGAAATTTCTCGAAAAAGAAGAATTCACTCGAAGGTTGACAAACACAATGGGTTCATTTATGATCATTACAAAATAATATCGTTTTGAGCATGATAATAAACATGTGTGTAGCTCTTTCACTCAACAGTAACTCTGCAGCCTCTCATTTTTCAAAAATCTATTCTTCTCTTCGACGCCTCTCGACAACAGAAGTTTACAATAGGTTGCAGCATTTTTATCTCAAAGCTTTGGACGACTTTGCAGAAAGTTTAGACGAGACTAGTAGACATGATTGTGTGGCTGAACAAGTTCGATTGTAAAATAACAATGATTGTAGAAACTTGGTATAATATTTGAGTTACTCTCCGTGAGTCCATTCGTACAAATGTGCACCAAATGAAAAATAGCTGAACTTTAGAGCAAGCTATAATTTTGGCAAGGATAATTGTACGCCTCATCATTATGAATATTGCTAAACAGATTTCGAGACTTAGGTCCCCCCCCCTCTACCACCCTTTCATTTAAACAAATTCTTCTGTAATTGAATCGTTACTGATCGCAAAAGGACAGATTAGTGCGCTCACTTAAGTGCACGATTGATAGGCTATCAAATGGAGCATTTGATCTGCATCAATCACAAATCATTTGGAACGGAGCTGTCTATAGACCCCGTCGCCGTCTCCGCGGACCACTGGTCCTGCGAGGATCAGTAGTCCTCAGGAGCGGTGCCTACGAGCAGTATCCGGACTCCAGTTTCTTGTGATTGAACTCTTTATCTCCTCACTTTGCTTCTTTTTATCGTAGACGGAACGAGCGTGAGATGTTTGAGTGTACTCACAGAACTCGTTGAAGACGATGACGTTCTCACGGTGTAACCCGTTTAGGCAGGAATAAACGCATCACTCACGAATGCAGCTGGTCTAACAGCATCAGAGTACGCAAAGAAGAACGCGCATCGTAATCCGATTACAATCAAAGAGATTCGATTTCTACTCAAAGGTAAGTGGGGTTGTTCTGCAAATTTTGTGAAGTTCAGCATCTTATCGCAGCCTCTTCGCACTCGTGCATTGTTCAGAGAATAAATTTAACTTTACTTCTTCTCTCACTTTATATTCTATATTCTAGGATATAGAATATAGGGATATTCTCTGCGAAATCACCTATATACAGTAGTCCTCACTTTAATAGTCGCCATATGTATCATCAATTTAAATGACTTAATGTGTTAGCCTGCGTGTTACGCTCGGTGACTGACGTCATACCCTTACCACATTCTTCAGTTAAAGCTCTTTTAGTAGCGAACCTCACAAGTCTATACTATAATCAATACATCCAGTCAAACCAAAAAGAAGTAAGGGAAAAGGAGAAATTTTTGGACATGAGCGGGTTTTAATTTTACAAGTCGTCAAGTAGCGTGCATGCTGTGCAATACGCATGTTAAGGTGCAAATGATTTGAGGATAGCTGCTGATCTATTGAACTTTACAATCACAGGTGAACCTTTTCTTCTACCTTACCTCTTTTACCTCACCAGTCGACTTCGTTTTTCCTCTTTCATATTTTTTATATTACTTGATCAACCATGGTAATGAAGCTACCGTTACTGGGCTGCTCCACTGCATGTTGCCAAAGTGGTGCAATTACACAAAGCGACTGTTGCAATCAGAATCATGTAGATTTGAGTTTTCGTGCAAGTTTTGCTCACGATTTCATGTCATTACAGACATATCCATTAGGCTCCATTATCGGCCGATTTCGCGCGCTTAGCTGGCCTCAGTTTGATACCACCTGCTGCTAATGATGACGCTGATGGCTGTTTGTACCGCATTTTCTCTTAATCACCTCATACTGAGGGTTGATAAAATAGGTGATAGCAGCTCGTTTGCTCCATTAATCGCAAATCTTGGGATTTACCGTAAGCCTGGATCCCACCGTTATGCCTAAATATAATCGCGAGAAATAGCAGGCAGTTCCGCTTTTTTATAATTTCCATGGCAGAAAGCTATGTTGGCCGCAACTTTTATGTTCACATGGACTTTATTAGCATTGAGATGAAGCAGTAGATATTTCCTTTTTTCGCAAAAGATGAACTTTTCAAATTGCTGCGTTTCCGTGTTATCGCACATTTTCCATACATTTACAGCAGAACATTTTCAGTAAATGAGAGATTCCTGCAAAGATAAAGTGTACAATTCGCGCCTGTTTTTTATGTAAAAATGAAGATTGAAAATGTTTTGCGTCTTACAATTAGCATATAATTTGAGTGGTTCGCGGAACATGCCAAATTACTGCAAAACAAAAAAATATTTATTGTGTATATCCGATATTTTTCGGTAAAGAAAATGAACGATCATTGAGTTGTCGAGATCTAAAGTTTGAGTTGAATAGATTTCTGGAATTTAAACTCACTCTAAACAAGTGCAAACACTTTTGTCTTCAGAATAGAAGACTTGAGCTATGGCACTTCAGTTTTATTTGTAAGGGACTGCCTTTTTTAGTAATAAATATAGGAGGGGATCCGTGATATGACACAAATTTCAAACCTCAATTCCCTACTGTAGTAAAATGCCTGAGCTATTGTATCAGCACATGCGTTCTTCACCGTGCTATTCTAACAATCGTATTCATTAGAATATGGATGACCAAGTCATTCGATCCGGTCGAGTGCCACCTGTGCGACACCTCGCGGACAAATGAGGTAGCGTGCGCAGCGGTGAGGTGTGAGATGACTGATAGCGAAAGTGCTGCTCGGCCACGCCGATGCGCCCGCCTGCCAAGACCCGGAGAGAAGTAGCAGGGTAAGTGGTCCGATGGCCACCTTCCCAGGGCAACCCCCCCCCCCGCTGTTGCTAGCGGACAATGTGTGCGGTAGACTGCGCGGTCATTGGCTATCGATCAAGTCATGGTCACTCATGCATGCCACTGGTTGCCTTTTTGCCGCATCGCTTAGCCTGTCCTGGTTTTTTTTACCTCCTACCGTTGTCCAACAATTTTCAGCGCTGTGTGGCCAGTCGATCTCATAGTTTGCGCCATCAACCTCGTACAGGGGGCCCTCATGCATTCTGCCGAACTTGAATGACAAAGAACTTGCTATAGTCAGTACTGAAGTCTGCAATTGCACATTTTCCGGGCTGGTTAAAAGTTATTATTCTTCTCTTTTTGATTGGTTTCGTTGGTTCTTTTTTGTTGTTTGTTGGTTTTCTTCTGCTGTATACACACAGTCGTATTCAATGTAAGTGATAAAATATCATGCTAGGAGAGATCTGCTTCCTACTAGCAACATTCTAGAAAATGTGCATTTGCACACATTGACAATGGAAACCTTTCGACTGTACACCTCCACCTTCTACTTTCACTTCGGAAGACCTCCATCCCCCACAGTAGAAAGAACGGATTTCTTTTTTTTCTCAGTAATGTCAAAATTCAATTGAAGTAACAAGTACATTACCAAAAAGACAGTAGACGCGGTTTGCACTAATTAAATGGACTAGTGTTTACAACAAGCATTCCAGCCCATGTTCTGCACATTAACTTTTCAGGCGAATAGTTTGATGATGCTTTACAGTAACATTAGTAAAAAAAATTGACTCAATTATCATTATTATACAAGAAGAGAGGGAGGTGTTAATTCGCTATATCATTTTCTGCAATGAAAAATAAAAAACTTCGGTTTTCTATGTGGACTCCGTCATACTGTCAGTAACGCAGATATCTGATGTCTTCTTTCAATGTGACGGCCATTTTTCCTTTTCTCTTGCATGTCCACCTTATTTTTCTATAATTCTCTATTTGATATTTCCCTTGCCATTCATCCCATAATTTTACTTGCCAAAGTGCACATAAAGCAAAGCATTCCACATTTGCATTCCATTTTTTTCAAACCTTCTATTTACACTGTCGTATCAGGCTCAGGCTAACAAACTTGTTCTGTAGCTCTATCATCTCAGCTTGGCCCTCTGCATACGGAGATTGCTCAGTTGTGAAGCTCTGCAGCCGTTGTTTGAAACGATTTCGTTTATTTGGACTGATGTACATCTCCAAACAATTGTTTACATAGGTGAGAAAACATTTAGTGCAGCTTTCATGGTACATTACCGTAGTGTTTCATTTTTGGCAGAAGTAATACGGCGCGGTTTTGCTAGTTGGGGTTATCCGAAGTAGATCTATATAGATTCAACAATTCTACTTTTTGCGAGTGGTATAAGGTTGTACCATTGCATCTTTGGTTCCTTCAAGTTTGAGAAGTTGGTGTACTCCCCCCTCCTTCCCCGAGATTGAGTAGCAAAATTCTGGAATTACTTTGATATGAGTTATGGAAAGTGCAAGTGGTTTTTTATACTTGTAATAATTAAAATGATTTTTGCAAAATCTAAAAATACAAATTTGGGTGGTAAAAGAATTGTTTTGGGGCGTTGCTGGCGTCACGCACCTTTATTCGAAAAAAATTTTGTTGCTCCCACTTCCCCCCCCCCTTCCACCCCCCCCCCCCCACCCCCGAAAGGATGGGACCGCCACTGATACAAGGATATAAATTCATGGCTATATTTTAAAATGTGCTGTATAGCAGCACGCATGAGCAAGATTTGGTAGGGGCGGAGTTTGCCATTCTATGCTTGTCATTTTAAGATTCTAGTAGTGAAAAAATTACGACATAAATGAATTTATTATGTCTATTACATGAATAAGTAGATAGGATGACATCAGGATTTTTTGGGGCAAAGATCCGCTTTTGCAGCAAATGGATATTTTCAGACTTGTTTTCAATTCTGAATTGGATAAAAGTTTCTGCGATTACTTTGATGACTTTCATTTGTATAGAGCTTGCTTTGCTTTGACGGATGGTGATCCAAGTTTCACCAAAAATTATATCGGGAATAGGATTCTCTTTGAGTTACAATGGTACTTTGGAACATTCTAATAGTATGACTCCTTTCGGGGATGTTTTCTGCGGTATCGCGTGTCACACAACAACCGGCTTCTATTCCTAAACGCTTGTGTTGACAATTCATGCGAGGAAGGCACCTCCATGGGAACATCAAAAAAGCTCGTCGTTGCCTCTTTCTGAGTCTCAAACGGTCCGGCTATCGTTCCATGGTTTTTGAGTAGACACGCGATTACGCCGCTTTTTCTACGGCCATTACAGTGGCATTTGCGTATGTTATGGAACAATGTACGTCTAGTGAGGGCTGTGTTCGGCTTGTGCCCCTCTCATCCTCTCCTGGCTCGTCTTCAAAAATCCATCTATTCGAGTCCGATCACTGTTTGGCGCGCGCACACTTTTTGATGCTTTGATGCCGCAAATTGCCTGTTGACTGATATCGTAACCGGATTCGCGTCTGCTCGGGTTTTGATCGTGCTCTACGGGTAACGATTTGCTCCTCACCTCATCTGTCATGTCGACAGCGAGTTCCATCCGGCTACACACCTGACACGAGATCTTATCGCAATTATGGTATGCGTGTGTCGTTCAATATATGTTCTTCGTAGAAGACAAATCAAGGTGACAATGAAGAACAGCGGGGGCCACACGACCCAGCATTTTGAGGGCCACATTGAGCGAGGGGGCTTGCAAAGGATTACGTCAGCGCCAGCAGCAGTCATTCCGGTTATGTCTACACTATTCTTCGGATATTCATGTTTCGAGAAGACTGCGCTCATCCCTTAATCCACCAATCTATTCAATTAGCATATGTAATCATCCGTAGTATTAGACAGTCAAGTCATTGCAACTTCCATGTTTATTGCACAACAGGCGCGCTATTTCACGACTTAACTGGTAATTTCTCTTTGTTTTCTCCTTTTTCGAGTTCTATTACATACAAGCTTGTAAAAGTAATCATTCTTTGCCAGTGCTCCATCAAACCGCTTGTACTGCATTCTCATTTCCTTAAATAGCCATATAACGAGCTAGTGCAATCTTTATTGAAAAATGGGTCCATTTGATGTGAACTATCTTTCATCGGTAGCATTTCTTGATGTGACACTTGTATGACCCACGCT